GTTTAAACACAGTTTTTGAAAGTATGTCAGATTATTATATTTTAATGGTTATATATAATAAATGCTATAGCATCCACGTGAAGTATAACGGGCGTCTATTTTACGTAATTTGCTTGTCCAAGCTAATTTATGTCTACAGAAAAAGAAAACATAATTCAAAAATAACTAAAGAATAAGTTAGTCGTTACCTTGGCAGGTATAATAATTGCAAACACATAATATTATATAAAATTAAATTTTAACTAGTGGTGTATGGCATCGTGCCTTAATGCAAATTGCTGGAATTTTCCATACCGTAACGAAATGTTCGAGGAATATTAAATGTTTTTCAATAGATTATTATAAATACTTTAATATTGTTTTATATTTATAAGAATTATATAAACTAAATTGCAAAGTTGAAATTATTTATTCAATGTATATAAGTGCGCTTTAAAACTTTAGCCAGAATAAAAATTGAAATCTGAATTATTTTCGATATACAAAAAGCAATTGTTTTGTCAACACAAGCAGAAAGTTTTTTGAATAATTCAAATCGGATGCTTAGTTCTCTCAAAAACTGCCATTTTTGTACGTTTAGCTTTATATCTTCATAACGGCTGGACCTGCTTTTGCCAAAAATTAATCAGCACATCTCGCTATCAATAGGAATCATTTTTTGTACCATTTAAATCGGTTGATCCTTGCGCCCGAAAACTTGGACGAAAAATTGCGGACACACTAAACACACACACACATCCACTTATTCTTAGGTATGCCAAAATGTTCAGAAACCTATGAAATATATGCAAAAATTTTCATTTTCGATTTCCGGCTCATTACTATAACTTACCCTACAGGAAGTTAATAATTGACTTTAAATACTGAATACTATAGCATCCATGTCATTCTAAATTACAGCAAAAATAAATGCTATAGCTATAGAAACCGCAATAACACCATTATTTAGTAACTTAAATTTTGGGCTAAATGACCGACTGGTTAAAGGCCTTAAATAAATAAATAAAAAAAAATAAAAAACTTAAATTTATCAATCTAAGTTTGCAAAAAAATAATTTTGTAGTACCATTAAGATGAAAGTCCATAAAATGTAAAGTTGACTTTGTTTCAACAAACCTTTTACTCACAATTCCACCTCCGGGATAAGAAACTTTAACATTAACATTATCAAAGATATTTTCACAATTTTAATATATTGCCTTTAAATTTCCATGTGTTTTGGGTTCGACTGCAATGCCCGTTAACCATATAATAATATGTGCACATGTCTGTGCCTCACACATAGGTTGTCCTTCGCCCGGGGCCGTCAAGAGTTCCATCGAAATATATTTACCGCCGCAAGTTGCGCCGCCGCCGCCGCCGCCGACTCGGAGACTGCAAGGCCCGCGAGTCGGGCCCGAAGGCACGATGTCCGTTCACTCTGATATCTGACAACTCGTATGAGGAACAATGGACAGGTACAGGGACAGACTTTTAGAAAACGGAAAATATCAAGTATTTTATATTGTGGAGATCTGAACCGAACAAATGAGAACGATAAGTCGTATTATGAATTTTTGTAAACAAATATTTTGTAAAACATTTTTATGAAGTTGGAAGCTATTAACTACAAATAAATCTATTTCCATAATATGTTGAATCTAAGAATTGATAATAAAGATTAAGTTACTGAATAATGGCATCATTGCGTTTCCTATAGCTATAGCATTTATTTTTGCTTTGATTCTGAATGACATGGATGCTTAGTAAAATCAATTATTAACTTCCCGTAGGGTAAGTTATAGTATTGGGCCGAAGATCGAAAATGAAAATTTTTGAATATATTTACGTTTCAGAGGTTTCTGAACATTTTGGCATACTTCAGGAAAAATGGATATGTGTGTGTATTTTGTGAACTTATAACAAGAAGAATTTGCACATCTATGTGATACTATTCTAATGGTTTTACACAGAATATTTACATTATTATTTTTTTTTCAAAAATTACAGTTATGATGCATGAGAACACATAATTCAGGATTGTGAGCTAAACCGCAAACAAAAAGTTTTACATTTTTTAGCAATTTACAAAGAAACGGCTCATCCGATCGTCACACCAAACAGTGAAACGATAGTCCTCATCAAGATACATCGAATGACGTTTAAATTTTTGAAATCGGTTCAGGCGTTTTTAAGCAAACGTCGATGAAAGGTCTAATTTTGACAAACACCAAAAAACAATACTAATTTTACTAACTTTGACGAATTTTTAAAATTAAACGACTTGTCGTAGGGCCGTAATATTTTAGTATGTTCTAGAAGACCATAATATCTATCGCCAAAATAAATTTCATAAAAAAAGTCGAAGCAATTTTTGCAACAGTTAATTACAAGAAATTGTGTCAGGAAATCTTTACCAGAAACAAATCAGGTCGATTCCCAAACAATATATTTCAAACGGTTTTCGAATTTTCAAAATCGATTCAGAATTGCGGGCTAAAACGTGGACGATTTTTCACTTTTCTGAGATTTACAAAGAAACGGCTTGACCGATCGTCGCGCAAAGCTGACAAACAATAGTCCTCGTTGAGATACATCGAATGGCTTTTAATTTTTTAAAACCGGTCCAGTCGTTTTTGAGAAAACGTTGATTTAAGATAAAAAAAATCTGTTCGCACGCACACACACACACATACTTTTTCCAAATTTGATCTCATTCGATTCAGAATGGCTTGAAACGTCGAGAAAACATAAAATTAGCGAGTTGCATTTTTTATAAAAACAAGCTAATAAAGTAAACAATAAATTTCGATCAGTAAATTTCAAATTTGTTCAAACAAATAAATATTTCGACATATTTGAAATATAATAATATTTTTCTAAACAGCAAGGGACTTAAAAATCTTATGAGCTGTTATGAAGATACTTAAGTACGTAACGCTTGACTTCTAATACTAATGGCATAATTTTTCAATTTGATTTTTTACGTTTTTCAGTTAAAACTGGTGTTATTACTGCTTGATATCAGGCTGTCGGAAATGGGTATCTAACGTAAAACATTGGGCTGTAAAGCCAAGCTATAATAATAAGTAGCAATCATTTTTTGGTCAAGACTCAGAAATGATGAAACACAAAATTAAACAATTTTTTGAGAAAACTGTCGACAAATGGTCAAAAATAGGCTCAGATACCATACACACACACACATACTTTTTCATTTGATCTCAATCGATTCAGAATGACTTGAAACTTCAAGTAAACATAGAATTAGCAAATCGGATTTAGTTGCAAAAACATAAACTTCGTCTTCGAAAAATTTTACTAATGCATTATACTTTTCAAAAATTTGTTCTATGTAATAAATTGATATGCGAATATTATTATAACGTATTGTAAATAATAAAGCATTGGGAAATATATATCAATAATTATGAGAACCAAAAACGCATTAATATATTTTTACGAATGTAGAAACTATATTCTGAAATATGAAAATGTTGAAAGAAATCATTTATTTTCATAAATCACTTCATAGATCACTTTTATAACGGTATAAATATTAATTGCACATGTGATTCAACGTTATGATATTATTATCAATTTCATAATTAACGGTTAAAAATAAAATCCATTCTGACACCAAGTGAAGTAATGCATATCTACATTATATAGGTCAGTTTGAAAATAATTTTCATAAATATCTTGAGTTGTATTTATGTATTTATTGTCCATTGTTTTCACATGCCTATAGAAGTATTTATTAACTTTGGCTAGCTCTGACAATGAATTAGACTTTTAGCTCTTGTTATATCTATTCTATCTCGGCTAAACAATCACGACTAAACGATTTGTATTTATTGGAATACAGTTATGTAACTTTTACCAACTGCTTGAACGACCTTGGAAGGTAACAGCAAAATTTCGATGTATATTAACTCTTTGGGGACGGCTGTCCACCTGAGTGTACAAACATACTTTGTAAGGCACAGGCTATTTTATAAACAATGACTCAGTTTGCATCGAAAAGTTGAATAAATTACATATAGCAGTGATAAACAGTGTTGTATTTTGAAAATAATTTTAAGTTATTTTAGTAGTATTTTTAGCCTTTTTCTTTGCTATATAGCCTTTTTTAAATACTAAAAACGACCGAACGCTTTTAAATATGGCAAAACGACTGGTAAATTTTGTGAATTAAGCAATAGTAAAGATGAGTTTCAAATAGACATTCATACAGACAAATTTTACGAAATTACTATTCGCACCGAAGATAGTATAGAATGTGATGATGATATTATCCAACCAACAAAAAGTTCCTCTTGTTCGACAAATTAAATGAAGAGCGGAAAGACATTAGCGAATGTGCCGATTGTCCTTCAATAATCGAATTTGACATACATCAACAAACACCCCGACTACAAATACCAAGCAATATAAGGCATCCAATAGATTATTTTACTTTATATTTTACAAATGAATTATTAGACAATATAATAGAAAAAACGTCATCATTCTTTATAAAATGATCAAAAATAAATTAATATTATAAATGTATGTTCTTCGATGACCACAAATTTTTATCAAACAAATTGCATAACATACACAATGAAATCAAGTTTACAGCCGGTACAGTAGATTGTTTGGAAATCGGTGCCGTTCCGTGAGTGTTAAAAACAAACTCAGGCTGCATTGAAAAATAAATATAAAAAATCATATTATAGACAGCCAGTCGGCAGTGACAACCATTTTTTTACTTAGAAAAAAACTACTCATTTTCTTAAACTTTGATGATTTTTTAAATTAAACTACTTGTCGTGAGGTCGTAATATTTCAGTAAGTTCTATAAGACCATGATATATATCGCCAAATTCTCCTTTGGGAAGTTAATAATATTATAGACAGTTGCAGTTCAAAATTGCTGCTTCAATAAAAAAAAACCTAACAGTTATTTAAACAACTTTTAAATGTTGCCCATAGAATTCTATCCCGAATGCAATAATAAGAGCATAGAAAACACTCACCTCTTGCTGCAAATCTTGTCTAGATCCAGGGCGAAAGCTTGCAATTGGCCCGCGGCTTTCCCGATCGGAAAAACTTTATACGCCGTATTATAATAAACAGCCACTCTCTTCGACGAGTTCACTATCTCTGTTATATATTGCCATTATGTGAAATCACTATGATGATTGTTGGTAATCTGGTACACGGAATGATAATCTCGACACTAATCTACTGAGCCGCTGCAAAAAATTGAAAAGCACTTTATTTTATATGATACGGGATTGCTAAGATTTTACTACATTATATATATATATATATATATATATATATATATATATATATAATGTAGCAAAATCTTAATATAGGTTAAGTTTTTAACTTCCCGTAGGGTAAGTTAAAGTAATCGCTAAAAAATCGAAAATGATTTTGCATACCTTTACGTTTGAACAATCTGGCACAAATTAGACAAAAATTGATGTAGGTGTGTGTATGTGCATGTGCGTGTGTGTGTATATGTGGATGGGTGTGGGTGTGTGGGTGTGAATGTGTGTGTTCGGATACAAATTTTCGTCGACGATTTTGGGTACACGAATTAACTGAATTGGATCATTCAAAAAAAAAAATTTCAATTCCCACTGATAAAGAGACGTGCTGTATAATTTATGACAAAGGCAGGTCCAGTCGTTTCGAATATGCAGGGCAAAAGTGCCAAAAATGGCATTTCAGTTTTTGGGAGAACGCAGCAACCGATTTGAATGAGTCAACAATTGATTTGTATTAACGAAATGAAGAACTGATTAATTTTTTTTAGAAAACAAGCCTAGCGGTCCAAATTTTCAAAAATTTATTTTCTGTTTTCAAATAATTTTAAAGCTTCTTTAAAAAATTTAATTTTTGGTACGGAAATTTCCAGCAATTTGCCTTAAGGCATGATTGCATCTACACTAGTTTTATAATATTTTTAATATTGCAGTTTGAGGCAAAATGACAATACAGAAAAAACAGCATCAGCAAAAGACATGATACTTTTTTGTTTGCGAATACAATCAAGCAATTTTAAACGATACATCCATAATATAATTTATATAAATATATGTATATATTTCGCCAAAAACTAATCAGCACGCCTCCTTATCAAAACGAATCGATATATATTGTAAAATATTATACAAACATATATATTATAAAATTTAATTTAAATTGAACTATTAGTGCTAATTAACTATATATCTTATGCGAACCTCTGCATTTAGAACAATTTATCAATCTAATGTTTTTTTGAATATATGTTTATCAATTACAATTCAAACAACAGGTAGTAAAAAAAACAAATCAGGTGTAAAAAAATTAAAATTATTTGATATAGATTACATTGGATGTTTAAAATGTCCTTCAAAAAACATGTGAAGTATAAATAAAAGTTAAATTGAAATCGCCTTTTACATATTACATAATATGACTATAAAAGCGAAACATTTGTCAGGAATTTAAACATTTCAAACTAAGATTAAAAGGCTTAGCTGCGTCGTGAAATATTAAAATATTAAATTACGTGCTCCAATTAATAATTTTATAAAAGTATTTTCATAGTTGTAAAGTTATTTATTGTTTAAATTTTTATATTGAACACATAATTATTTTATTTAATTATTATGTGTTCAATATAAAAATTTAAACAATAAATAACTTTACAACTATGAAAATACTTTTATAAAATTATTAATTGAAGCACGTAATTTAAAGTACAAGTAGCAAAGTTAACTAAAAGTGTAAAACGATTGTATTTATAACGAGAAAATATTTTAAATATTATGTAATAAACTAGTGGGGTGCATGGCATCGTGCCTTAAGGCAAATTGCTGGAACTTCCAGTACCGTAATTAAAAATCTTGGTACGGAAACCAAAAAAAAAATACACAAAATGTGTACACATTATTAAAATTTCTATAAAATATCCGATAATTCGATGTACATATGTCCAATAAACATTTTTGGCCGCCAAATGACATTTTTTTAACTTATTTTCATTGAGAGTCCATAACCGCTGGACCTGTCTTCCCAAAAATTTAATCAGTTCTTCATCTTGTCAATACAAGTGAAATGTTTTTTTGAATTATTCAAATCGGACGCTCGTTCTCTCAAAAACTGAGTCACCGTTTTTGGCACTTTTTGCCCCATATCTTCGGAACGGCTAGACTTGTCTTCGACAAAAACTAATCAGCACGTCTCCTTACCAATACGAATCGAACATTTTCAAATCGAATCGAATCGAATTATTCAAATCGGTTGATTGGTGTTCCCGAAACCGTCGACGAAAATTTGTATCCGCACACACACACGTACACATACACATACACACATCTATTTTTTCTAAGGTATGCCAAAATATTCAGAAACCTTTGAAACGTAAAGATGTATAAAAAATTTCATTTTCGATTTTTTTGCGATTACTATAACTTACCCTTACTGGAAGTTAATAACCACATTGAACAATTAAATTATAAATAGCTTTTGACGAAATAATTATTTGAATTATTATAGATTAAATAAAATATGTGCAGCACATCCTTTAAAAACAAGTAACACAAAAATTACATAACCTGCGCAACAATGCAATTATACAAATATGTACATTAAGGTACACATCTTTTGAAAAACTCATGCAATCATTTAGCAAAATTTTATTTTATTATATTTTTAATGTATTTATTAATAAACAGCAATCAAAATTACATGCAATCCTATAAGCTGTTCTACTATAAATTATATAAAACAAATATTAAATTTACTCACGTGTTACAAAATTGTCTCATTCACGGTAAATAAAATAAGTTTTGACGATAATAGCACTAACGTAGATTAATATCATTTACTTAGCAAAAATAAATTAGTAGAACAAACACGTTTTAATACAATTATAAATCAATAAAATCGAATTTAATAATTTTATTTCAATATTTCTATGGCCTTTTACAAGGGACGTCCGCACTCGACAAGAGTCAATGTGCAACTGATCTGACGGACGGCTTGAAGCCGATGATGGCGTGCTATTCCATGCTTCATTTTTCATGTCAGCCGAGGCGTAAGTCGGTAAGTGATACCCCGATAATAAGGGGTTGAACATTGTAATTAGTTTGCAACTCGTTTATATTAAAATACAACTCATTTTCATGAAAGATAGAAAAAAATGGATGTGTTTTACAAAGATTTCATTCATAATCATTTATAGGAGGGCGTCCACTGATCACGTGAGGTTTCTAGGTATAGAGGGGGGTTTGACAAAAAATCAACAAATATTACGTGAGAGAGAGAGCAGTATAGCATAGTAATATATTACGTGTATTTAATTTTCACCTGATTTTTTTTAAAATCCAAACATTTTCAAAAAAAATAAATAAAAAAAATTAACATTTTTTCTCGTAACGCGAGGTAGCGGTGGTAATTTTGAATATCACCATGTATCACCAAGGGAGAGAGAAGTCCAAAAATCCTTAAAAATCGTTGACGTGATTAATGGACGCCCCCTAAGTTACAAAAAAATCTCTCTACTATTCCGTCCTTCAATTCTAATTTGATTCTTATAAGTCTCTAATATGGATCTTATAAGAATTTCATAAAAGTTTCATAAAAAAAATTATTTGAAGTCTTTAATATCATACGTCTAATCATACTCTAATAAGAATCTTATACAAATTTCATAAAAATATTTAAATTTTTTATTTCAATTAGAAAGATTCATTTGATTCTCATGCTTTTCTAACAAGAATTCTTTAAGAATTTCATAATATTTTCATAAAAATTTTATTTAAGTTCTTTAATTCATTTTGAAGGATTCATTCGAATAATTCTAATTTGATTCTCATACGTCTTTAATAAAAATCTTATAAGAATTTCATAACAGTTTCATAAAAATGTATTTAAAGTCTTTAATTCAATTCGAAAGATTTATTCGAATAATTCTATTTTGATTCTCATACGTCTGTAATAAGAGTCTTATAGGTATTTCATAAAAGTTTTATTATAGTTTCATAAAAACTTTATTTAAAGTAATTCAATTCGGAAGATTCGAATAATTCTAATTCATTCATTCATTCATTCTTTAATAAAATTCTCATAAGAATGTCACAAAAGTTACATAAAACTTTCATTTAATTTTTTAAATTTATTTCGAAACATTCTTTCAAATAATTCTAATTTGATTCACATACGTCTCTAATAAGAGTTTTATAAGAACTTCACAATAGTTTCATAAAATTTTTATTTAAAGTTTTTAATTCAATTTGAATAATTCTATTTTAATTGTCATACGTCTCTAATGAAAATCCTATAGGAATTTAATAATAGTTTCATAAATTCTATTCGAAAGATTTATTCGAATAATTCTAATTTGATTCTCATACGTCTCTAATAAAAATCTTATGAGAATTTCATTAAATGTTTGTAATATTTCAAAAATGTCTGCAATATATCAAAATCACATTTTTTTGATATCTTTTAAATTATTATATCAAACATTAATTTCTAGGTTCTTGTTTTGTTTTTATCAAAAACCAATTATTATTTCTTAAACAATCAAAGCAAATTCACTGTTTTCCCGAAAACGCGGACACATTATCGTATATGCATTAATTTTTTAAAGTATGGCAAAATGATCTGAAGATCTAAATAGAAAAAAAAATTAGTAAAGAAAACGGACAACACGATAACGAGAGTTACCAATATCCATTTTCACTTATAGATCTAAAATTTGTTTAAAACAAAAATGCTTTTCCTGCACATTGCTACATCTAATAAAATAATATATATTCAATATTAGATTAATTTTAAGAATAAAATATGTTTCTTGCTCATTGATATTTGAGTTGATATAACTAGTAGGATGCGTGGCATCGTACCTTAAGGCACATTGCTGGAACTGTCCGTACTGTAATTAAAAATCTTGGTACGGAACCCAAAAAAATTTATACAAAATGTGTACACATTATGAAAATCTCTATAAAATATCTGATAATTTGATGTACATATGTCCAAATGACATTTTTTTAAATCATTTTTATTGAGAGTCCATAACCTCTGGACCTGCCTTCCTAAAAACTTAATCAGTTTTTCATCTTGCCAATACAAGTAAAATGTTTTTTGAATCATTAAAATCGGACGCTCCGTTCTCTTAAAAACTGAGTTACCGTTTTTGGCACATTTTGCCCCGTATCTTCGGAACGGCTAGACCTGTCTTCGCCAAAAACAAACCAGCACGTCTCCTTATCACGAATCGAATGTTTTCTTAATTATTCAAATCGGTTGATCGGTGTTCCCGAAATCGTCGACAAAAATTTGTATCCGCACACACATACATACATCAATTTTTTCTAAGGTATGCCAAAATGTTCAGAAACCTTTGAAACGTGAAGATATATGAAAATCTTCATTTTCGATTTTTTTTGCGATTACTATAACTTACCCTACAGGAAGTTAAAAATTCTGTGTAAAAACAGAAGTTCAAGCGTAACAGCTCATAAGACTGAAGTTTTGATTTTTTTTTATATACTTTATTTAACAGCAATCAGAATTTACAAAATTCTATGAGCTATTGTGCTTATGTTTAAACTCACTGACACAGTAAACATACTCACACACAGTCATACACACACACATAAATAAATTGGCTGAATTTTAAAAACTTCAATAGCTGCCACTCATCGAGTGGTCAACTAATCTGGCTGAGGTAAAGAAGTTTTGATTACAGTAAAAAATGATAATATATAAAATAACAAAAAAGAAAACACGTATTACTATTATTTGTGACTTTGGAATTATTTGTTTAAATTCTTACTTATAAATATATTAATAATTATAAGTTTCCAAAATATAATAGGGCCGTGCTTCGTACATTTCTGTGTTCACTTGGGCAATGAGAGTAGATGAGAGTCGAGTAGAACTCGCTCGTTCTCTCACCGTATTTAGTTTCGCTGCGATGCGATCGCTCCGGGCTATTTTGTAGCTCATTATTTTATGGATTCGAGTCTCGCTCCCGATGCCGCGGGCCTTCGACTGGCGCGATACCCGGGGGCTACGTTCGGCCCGAGGCTACGGGCGAGAGCGCCGAGGATGTGGATGTGGATACGCGTAATATGACTATACAGCAGAGAGGCAAAGAGACAGAAATGAGGCGGCCCGTGTGTTTGCTGCGCCTCGGGCAGGAAGAAGCGGGACATTCGGAGCCCACCAGGGAGGAACTAACTCATATAATTATTGGTACAAAACACATTCACAACTAGTGGGGCGCATGGCATCGTGCATTAAGGCAAATTGCTGGAAATTCCCATACCAAAATTTATTTTTGTTCAAAAACGATTAACATTGTTGAAAAAAATTTACTTCGAACAAATTAGATTTTTGAAAAACTATAAATTTGACAAAAATCTACTTTTTTTGAAAAAAAAAAATGTTTTCTTTATTTTGACATATTTTGGGAATTCTGAACATTTTTTCAAAGCAATCGTATTGCTTTAACTGCATAGAGACGAAATGTCAAAGCGCGTAAGCGCCGCGTCGCCGTATAGCGGATAAACATTGCTACGAAACCCATAGGAATGTAAACAAAATTGATACTTATTATTATTAAAATCTCTGTAAAATATCTGATAATTTGATGTGCATATGTCTAATGATCATTTTTGACCGCCAAATGGCATTTTTTTTACTTTTTTCACTACATCTCCGAAACCCATAGACCTGCCTTCATGAAAATTTCATCAATTCTTCATCTTGTCAATACAAGTAAAATGTTTTTTGAATTATTAAAATCGGACGCTCCGTTCTCTTAGAAACCGAGTTACCATTTTTGGCACTTTTTGTCCCGTATCTTCGAAATGGCTAGACCTGCCTTTGCCAAAAACTAATCAGCACGTCTCCTTATCAATACGAATCGAATGTTTTTTGAATGATTCAAATCGCTCCATCCGTGTTCCGGAAATCGTCGACAAAAATTTGTATCCGCGCACACACACACACACACACACACACACATACATCCATTTTTTCTAAGGAATGCCAAAATGTACAGAAGGTTTTGAAACGTAAAGATATATAAAAATTTTCATTTTCGATTTTTTGCGATTACTATTACTTGCCCTACGGTAGTTAAAAATATTACTCAGAAGGAAAATATAAACTAGTTGTAAGTAGCATGAACTTTCCGATTTGTACACATAATCAGCATAATTAGGGGGCGTCCATTAATCACGTAAGGTTTTTAGTAAGACGGGAATGTTTGACAAAAAATCGTCAGCGGGGAGGAAGGGGTATAGTAAGATATCACGTGTACTAATTTTTTAACCAAATATTTTTTTAAAAAATCAAGAATTTTAGTTTTACACGTAACTACAGGTTTGGTGGGGGAGGAGAAATAATTTTTAATATCACCATGTATCACCTAGGGGAAGAGGGGGATCCAAAAATCCTTAAAAACTCGCTCACGTAATTAATGGATGCCCTCTTAATAAGAATAGAATTTTAGCTGTGTAGTTGTAACTTAAGTGTTCAAATAATAAATTTTCGCTTTTACTAAAAAATTATCAATACGATTTACAAATGATGTTTTTCATATGAAATTTATAACATCAGTATAAATTAATTTGTTTAACACATTTCATTTAATCTATTTCGTGTTCTAAAAATGTATTTCATGTGAGTGGTCAACTGTGATCAGTAGAAGCCTACTAACACAAAACCAATTTCCAATTTTTGTCCCATTCAATTCAGAATGACTTGAAACGTCAAGAAAATATAAAATCAGCAAAACGGATTTTCTTGCAGAACATATAATTCTCCTTCAAGATGTTAAAAATTGAAACTTTGTAACTTCATTTGAAAATTAATATAATAGAAGTAATAATAACAGTTTTTTGCAAAATTATTGTACGCTCTAAAGTCTTGAAAAAATTGATAATATTGTATTTTGTCAAATAGAAGAAACTTGTGATTTGTTTTTCTGTAATTTCACTTCGTACTCGAAAGGTACAAAATAATTTTTGTCTGAAAAATATTTTATCACATATCTCCGGTCAATAAATTCGCAAAGAAATTATTAAGTTATATATACTTTTATTATAAAATAATGAGATTTATTACAAAACATACTTTTGAAGATGTACAGGGATAAATATTGTATCTAACATAAAGCTTATATATTTATTTAACATAATATTTAAGTAATTTAATTAACACAGTCCATGCAATTATTTAGTATTATATTCGCATCCTAATTAAAATATTTTTTGCTGATCAAAATTTGCTTATTGCATTACAACGAATTAAAATTCATAATAAGTCATTTTTGCATAGTTTAGAAACAAAATACATTTCAAGTCTTTATTATAAACGTCATACCAATTGATATTAAAATGTTGTTGTAAAAAATTCTCTAATTAGAGAACAAGTCAGTGATTGGCAAATAAGTAACAGATTAAAATATTTTATTGCAGCAATCGCAGTTATTAGAGGATAGCTAGGAAAAGTATAGTGAATAATAATAATTCATTTGATTTATGGATCACCAAGTTGATAGTATAAAGTCAAGTCAATACAACACATAGGAGAATTGAAAGCTGTAAACAAATTTAGAGAATAAAGAGATGAATAAAAACTAAATAAATAATATGGCAAATAACCATAGATGATTAAGAAATTCAGGATGCACAATTTAATAATCATTCATCATAAAGTATATTTATGATACCATATTTTCTTCTATAACAACTTCATTTAATTCTACAATTGCATTTTCACTATCATTACATGGTTCATTTTTGACGATTTTATTCTTTTCATGCAATTTCATATGCGATCGCAAGCAATGAGCTTGTGCAAAGCCTTTGTTGCATATCGTACATAAATGTGGTCGTTCACCAGTATGCGTTTGTGTGTGAACTTTTAATGCATATGGTCTTGCAAATGCTTTTTGACATATTTGACAAACATAAGGCTTTTCTCCTGTATGGACTCTTTTATGAACTTTCAATCTACAACTGTTCCTGAATTTCTTATCACAAAAGGGGCACTCAAAAGGCTTCTCACCTGAGTGTGTACGTTTATGTAATGTAAAGATGCTGCTATATCTATATTTTGCACCACATATATTACAAATATATGGATAAGAATTTGAATGTAGTCTCATATGGATTTCCAGATCGCAATTTTGTTTGAATGTTTTACCACATTCAGTACATAAGAATGGTCGTTCTCCAGTATGAGAATATTTATGAGACTCATAGCTGCGATATTGTGAAAAATCTCTACCACAAATATCACAATGGTATTGTTTACCTGTTCTATGGTAATTCATGTGACGATTGTAATGTGTTTCTGATACACATTTCTGTAACAGAAAAAAATCTATGAATATTAAAATAATGATGTGAAATCTAAAGGGCACCCATTAGTTATGTGGCAATTTTTATGTTAGCTAATGCATTTGAAATACAAATTTAGTTATCGTTACGGTGAAATGTAAAAAAATCGTTGCTTTTTTTTTGTTAATTTTGCTGTTTTATATCAATGCATCGAAAACAAACATAATCAACTTTAGAATGTTGTTGACAAACGGGATTGTGGCATTTTACGCAGAAAAATCGAGTTTTGCGTTTAGTCTTTTCGTTTTCGGCATGTAAACAGATTTCACAAAGCTTTTTCTTTTCAAGTGTTGTCGGGCCGCTTCCGTTAGCAACATATGCTTCATGAATCTGAAATAATATAATGAAGATAAATGAAAAAAGCGGCGCCTTCAAATTTAATATGAAATTCAAATGAAAACGAAATGAGGTGCATCGCCTTTGAAATGAGATGTAAAACTCAAAGTGAAAATATAATTTCAATTGAACTGCGTACTAATGGCTACAGGTTTGCCACAAAAAAGGTTTTGAACTCAGTATGGGTAGAAAAATTGTTGATTATGTGCGCATTATTCATCTGATTCATTGTTTGCGATAACCAATAAGTTTGATAGATTTTCAAGGCATTTTCATATGTGTGCGTGTAAATACTAACATTCATGTTACAATACACCTAGCAAATAATACATAAAACGCAGTTTGAATAGAAAATACCAGAAAAAAAGACAAAAGACTGATCAAAACTCATCATATTTCATGCAAAATGTATGGGTGGTCTAGACAGACCACTCCGACCATTTTAAGTATAAAAAAATTAATATCCTTATAATTATCTGACAGCTAATGAAATTTTAGGAAATGTCAAGAAATTTCAAGTCGATAGGATTACTAGAAAATATATTTTTTTAAATTGAAGTCGGAAAAAGTCTGGCCAGACCACTCCAACCGACAGAGGGTTAAATTCCAACATATGATTTTTAAAAATAATTAAGATTTATTAAAATCATAGCTGTAAAAGCAGAAGAAAACTTACTTTATTGCATATAGAACAAATTAGCTTTGCTTCATCAAGTGTTGCACTTCCACTATGATTTCGTATAACATGTAGATCCAATGATGTCTTTAATTTAAATTGCCTTTTACATTGTGTACAATTATGCTTTTTTGCTCCTTCATTTACATTGATCAACTTATTATTTTTAACAGCCTTTGATTTTTTTTCTGATATTGGTTCATCTTTAGGATCATTAGATTCTATTTTGTGATCTTCTAATTTTTCAAATTGATCACTAATTGGATCTTCCAAAATTGCCACTACATTATTTGTTAATAATTCATCATCACTGATTTCAACATATTCATCTGTAGCTTCAAAACCATTCTCATCAAAATCAATTTTATCATTTTCATAATCAACCTAAGAATATATTTCAATTAAATCTTTGCGCAAAATAGACAAACATGGAAAAACAATAAGAGCTGTATCTATATCGATACATTTAGATAGTAGATACAAATGGCATAATTTAGAGTAAAGAATTGTAATTTAAAGTAAAATAATAAATATTTTACTAATTATTGATCTGATTTAGATTAATGTAAGTTTTAAGAGAAATGTTTTACTATTGCAAATTGTCCTGCCTAGTAACATGCAGTAGAAATATATAGGTCTTTTAACATTTAATACCTCGGACTGTGTAGTTTCAATTTGCTCAAACTGTTGTTTCAATAGTCTTTCATTTTTCTCGCACATCATACGAAAAGAATAGGCGCTCTCTATTATATTGATACAAGATTTACAAATATGTTGAGGAAATCCATCATCACGATTAATCTACAAATAAATTTATGCAGATTTAGATAAATATAAAGTAAGAGATATATTGCGAAAGTGAACAAAAATGAAATATATACTTCTAAATCAGCACAAGTGAGCAAAAGATCCCTGAGGCTTAAAATTTTTTTACATATCATGCCTCGTGTGAATAATGATTTCATGTCGAACCCATCCTTCAGACAACTCCTGCATGTTTCGTTTGTCATTTTTATTTAATTTTTAAGAATTTAGTTAAACATGAGGCAAACAACCATTACTTGACAGCAGAATATTTTGATTTGGGATGATTGGTTTTATTTTGTGCTGTTTTTTAAGTTGCGAACTTGTGAAAGAGATTGTCAACCATAGATGAAAGATGTAAAAGATTGGATGTTCAATTCGATTTAACAAGGCGAGGATGATCTATATTATGATTGTTAGTACTCTATGGCATCAGGACATTTGACGTTTTGTTTATATGTTTAATTTTTTAAAGAAATGCTTTATTTTATTTATTATGTATGAAATCCTTCTCAAAATACAAATTTTATACATTAAATGAATATATTTTACCTATATGCGGTACACAATTATATATAAATAAGTTTAGAAATATGTTTTATGTAGATAAACATATTGTTTATTTGAAAGGTTTTGCTTTTGTAAACAAATAAATATGAAACCAAGGCAAGACTTATTTTATCATTTACGGAAACTTTAATTAATTCTTGATTATAAAATTATTAATAATGTAAAAAATATTATCATTTATAATAATGTCTTGTACGTTACAGGTTGTGTGGATCTCAAGACACTTGATTGTGATAAAGCTAAAAGCAAAATGAAACCGACAATGTGCAAAGAATTACTATTTTATCTATTGATTATCATAAACAATTTTTATATAATAAGTTCTGAATGTCCACAACAATGTATATGTGATAAAAAAATCAAACAAACCATCACAGATGGAATACAATCAGAAAAATATTACATGAAAGTTAAATGCAATTTATTAAGTGAAGATGTTGATAATTTACAAAAAATTAACTTTGGCGATTTTGCTTTAGATATAATTCATTTGTAAGTTTGTAACTCATATTATGTATTCAGTATTTTGTTTATATCATTTTCTTTTTTTCAGAGATTTAAGTGAAAATCAACTGACCAAGTTAGATAATTTTTCATTCTCAAATTTAACCAATTTAAAAAGATTGGATTTATCAGCAAATCTTGTACAAAATTTAGATAAAAAGTATTTTCAAAGTATGAAGAATTTAGAAAAATTAATTCTTAGGCAAAATCAAATAAAATCTATACCACAAGGAACATTTCAAAACTTGCTGTCGTTAAAACAACTGTAAGTTAAAATAATTTTACTATAAGAAATGGTTTGGCAAACGTAATTAATTTCATTATTTGCAGAGATTTATCAGCAAATCCTTTGAAATGTGATTGTGATCTAATTTGGATATTAGACTGGGCGCAAAGGAATTCTGTGAAATTATCACCAGGACCAAAATGTCAAAGTCCTTCAGATTTCAAAAATAGTTCTTTAAAGAAATTAAAAGTCGGTATAGATATGCATTGCGAGACGCCTATCACTCAGCAAAATCATGTTCAATTGAACCCAAGATACAATCAGGTATTAATTTATTTTAACGATTAATTTAGTTCCTTCTTAAATGCGTATATTATTGTTTCAGGTTGTTTTTGAAGGTGATTCTTTGCAAATACATTGTTTAATAAGCAGTAAATACAATACTGATGAAAATTTAGATCAAAACACAATATCTCCTTGGAGTTGGACACCGCATAATTCAAAACAATTCTCAATAGGTATTATTAATATACCTATAAATCTCCATTATTAGATTGAAACCTAATAATTCAATTTTATTTGTTTTAGACATTAAATATAACGATCTTGCGAGTATGTTTCCAGATATAAACATAATTAATAGATTTGTATCCGATGGTGGAATCATTGATTCACGTCTAGATATTGAAAACATTCGTCACAATCAATCTGGACAATTTTCTTGCAAAATGGTATCACCCAAAATGAATGTCTCCAAAAGTCTTGATGTAGTTGTTATTTCGAATGAAACAAAATATTGTCAAACAAACACCACAAAAGGTCAGTACATACTTCTATTTCTTACCATATCACAATTGACTTTCAAAATATGTATCTGTACAGATAATAAAGGCATATATACTTGGCCTGCTACGGTTGTTGGTAACAACGTAGTTTTAAGATGCCAAGGACAAAGTAGCGGTCAAGCATTTGCAACTCATTATTGTTCTGTTAATGGGAATTGGTCTGGTTTGAACACGAGAGGTTGTCCATATGTGAACGAGATAACAAAGGTATTTGAATATTTTTGATCAGTTATTGTATTTTAATTTACGTTGTTTTAGCAACAGCAAATTTTGAAATGTTTCTTATGGTATAGATTTTTATCTGATTTTGCCTCAGAATAAATTTTTCCAAACTCTGCATATATTGCTAATACTTCTTATATCACTTTTGTACAAGATTTGCTGATAAATCCCATTTTTTTAATTGGTTAAATTTGAGAATATAAAATTATCTAACTTGGTCAGTTGATTTTCACTTAAATCTCTGATAAAATAGAAAATAATATAAAAAAATTACTAATACTAATATATAATATGAGTTACAAACTTACAAATGTATTATATCTATAGCAAAATTTCAAAAATTATTTTTTTGTAAATTATCAACATCTTTACTTTATACATATTGCATTTAATTTTTATGTAATATTTTTCTGATCGTATTCTGTCTGATTTTTTGACTGATTGCATAACAATTATATATGATAATTACTATATCACATTATACAATATACCATATTTCAGATACTAGAACAATTCGCAAAGGTCAACTTAAGTCTGACAAGAAATACTATAGTAGAAAGTTCACGAGTCTTAAGGAATTTAACTTTGGTATCTGCAGCTAATATAACAAAATATAATGATCCCGATGATGTAGTTTTTATTGTGCATACCTTTCATAATTATATTGAATATTTGTCCCAAGAAAAGGAATTAGGTATGCTATAAATATGCTAATAAATTGGACAATAATATAATAATGATTTATGTAATGTTTATTGCAGGACCTATACTAATAGATATAGCCAGCGAGCTTATGAAATTCCCAAAACATATTTTAAATGCAGCTCAAAGACTTAATAATTCTTGTACTGAACTTGTAAGAGATTTAGAACTTACTGCTTCTTTTGCACCCGCACTCCAAGTTAGTTTTATTAGATGAAAATAAATACTGTAATGACTATGAAATAGTCTATAATAACATTTACCTTGTAGAAAAATCTTGCTTTGGAAGAATTTCAAGTGAACCAAGACAGTTTTACTGGTTTGACTTGCTCATGGCATATTTTTGAAGATGCTAGAGTTTTTCATTGCTCTATTTCAAACCAATCACTGTTACGCAGTCCACAGAATCATCTAATAGATGCCATAATACAGGTCAAGTCTACAACTGAGATATTAGAATAATGCATTACCGCTTTTTCCATAATATTTAATTTTTTCTTTTAGATTCCACCTTCAGTTCTTAGAGATTTTGACACTCAAACAAAATCAGCTCCTTCTTCACATAATCTTCTAGTTGGCATGTTTGAAAATAATAACTTTTTTCCCATATTAAATAAGAACGGCTCGGAAAATTTTAATATACTATCATGTATAGTTGGAGTAAAAATAGGTAATAAATAGGATACGATATTTATATGAGTTCATTTTGATTCAAATTAACATGTATTTTTAGAAAATCAAACCATTAAAAATCTAAATGAACCGATACAAATTATGCTACGACTGCCGAATTTTATGCGGGGCGATAGAGCTCCAATACCTGTCTGGTGGAATCAGCAATTGCTATTGGGACATGGAGATTGGTCAATGGAAGGATGCCACTTATCTTACACTAATAATGAATTGTTCATATTCACTTGTGATAATGTTGGATATTATGCACTTATGCAAGAACCATCTATAGCTAATTCTAGCAGGTGATGATTTGTTAATTATTTATAATTATGAAGACTGTACTTTTAGTTAATTGATAATTTCTCCAATTACAGCAATGAACCGATGGGTGCCAAGTTTAGATTCCTGCATTTAGCTGTGTACATTGGAAGCTGTTTACAATTTATCTGTTTGATGATTACCATTGTAACATATATAATTTACTTCAATGCTATTTTGATGCCAAGAAAGACAAAACATTCATTGATTAACACTTGGATTGCTATGTTGTTACTCTGCTTATCGTTTACATTAGGCATTTTTCAAACCGAGTCAAGATTATTATGCCAGACCGCCGGAATTATACAGCACTACTTATTTTTATCATGCCTTTTGTGGATGTCTGTAACAGTCAGTGATATGTATAAAAGACTTTCTGCTAAGGATCCTGTTTTATCAGATGATTTATTACAATCAGAACCACCAATCCCTAAACCAATAGTTGGTTTGTACCTGCTAGGATGGGGAGTTTCTCTCATAGTATGTGGTATTTCTGGTGCAGTCAACATGAAGCAATATGCATCTTTCGATTATTGCTTCTTATCATCCAAAGCATCGTTAACTACAGTTTTTGTTCCAATGTCAGGAATGATATTATTTATTATATCGATGTTTTTAATAGTTTGCTGGGCTATCAGACGCTATGATATGTTAGGACATATGTCGGAAGGAACTCAGGCAACAGAAAACGTTGATATAGAATTGCTCGAACCTCAAACGGTGACAAGTGGTGGTAGACAGAGTGCGCAAAGTATTTCAACGCCTACATCGTGCGAAATGGAAGACCAAGAGAATTCTCCGAAAATTCAATTAAAAGCGCATGTAATAGTGTTATTTTTACATTGCTGCATGTGGTCCACTGCAGCAGTTTATATCAGCAGGCCTCTGAAGCACCTAGTAATATACGATGAGGATATATTCGGCTCGCTGTATGGTATTTCAGCATCAATATGTGGAGTTTTCATATTGTTTTTCTATAGTGTTGCGCGTAGCGATGTTCGCAGCCAATTGGAGACCATGATATGTTGCCCGAAAGGTCAAAAGCGTTGGTGTCGTTCGAGAACAATTTCCGACGCCACTTCAAATAATAAACCTCAGCAGGTAGAACTATTAGGCAGTGTCCCTTTACAGCCAATATCCAATCAAGACGCGGCAGCACTTGCTCTAAGTCAATCTTTACACGCAAGTTCTGGGAAAACCATCAAACGTAACAGTGGTAACGCTCGGGATTTAATCCCTAATGACCCACAGGCTGTTGTAATTCATCGTAAGCACTACAGATCCACTGATTCTCCAATGAGTTTTGCAGAAAATCAAAATGGTGCAGAGATGTTCTACAATCCCAATCAGAGCAACGTAGCGCGAAAATTTTTCAAAAAACAAAAACGCCACATGAAGCACAATAACTTAGAAATCCATCGACTAACAGATGGATCAAAGAGTGATGGAGGTTCCATTATTTTCAAGCCTCGTTCGGCATTGGAAGCCGGCGTTATGACTACGAATATATTTGCTACTAGTTCTAAAGTTAATAATATAAACATTCATGCCGAACAGAAGCCTTGTAATAAAGAGGTTCAGAAGCATTGCAATATATTATCTGACACAGAGTCAGATTTCATAGAAAGAATAAGTCCTCATGCAATACATTTCATACCCGCCTCGGACGGGATGTGTGTTTCCATGAAGCACAAGAAAAGCAATAACGTTGCCAATATATATACAAACGTACCAGAAACTTCTTTACCGGAGCATCAGAGGGTACCTTTGGTTAAAAATGACTTTGCTTCAATGTCTTCTGAAGATACAAAAATTTTGCGGCCAATATCCTCCAAAATCTTATGTGAAAGTTCTTATGATCCGACACCGAGTGTTTATTCTGAGCTAGATAGCACTTTAGAAGAAAAGAAAGACTTTAGTAGCAATCTAGGCCCTTGTCACTCACCAAAGTCTTTTCTAGATTTTGATGAACTTAATCACACTCCAACCAAAAACAATGAATTTATGAGTGTAAAACAAGACCATAATAATAAATCTGAAAGTCCAATTTTGTTCCCTTCTAATATTGTCAATTTATATGACCATAAATCTGACAACGCCGAATATTTACGGTCAAGCAGCCCCTTACTAGAAGATTTCATAAACTATCATCAAGCAGATGAATTTGAACCCAATTTTGATAGTGACTGCAACTATGTGCAATATCCTACTTCAGAATTAAGTATAAAAAGTCACGGCTTATATGCCCCTCAACCAGAAATAGGTGGGAACGATTTAAATATGACTTTGATAAATGAAGCTGATCTAAGATGCATCCAAAATCGCGTCCACGACAACGATTTTCCTTATCAGCCATCAGAAATAAGTGCTATAAGTTCTTTAACCAATGACAACATACGTTCAGGTAAAACATATCAAAACTGTTCCCCATATAGACAATCGTCAGCTAGTTTGAATAGTGTGAGTGACATCATGCAAAGTTCCCAGTATCAAGATTATGCCCAAGTGCATAGTACCTCTATCGATGATCTTTATGAACAAATCAAGTGTAGACCAAGACCAAGAACCAGATCATCGGCTTATTATGTCAACAGTGAAAATTTCAAATCCCCCCATTCAAGATCTATGGAATGTGATTTGAATAGTCATGAGAGAAATGACTTTGATGTGAAGAACGATAAATACGAAAGCTAGTAAATTTATCATGCTCAAGTTTAATATGTATTGTAATTTCTAAACTGTAACCGATGTACCTTAACAGAAAGAACAATCATGTTTAATATAAGAACTGCAGAAATTTTAATTACAAGACTAAATAATTAAGACTGACTATATTCTGCATTTTATAAATATAAAGAAACTATTTTATTATATGTCTATTAATAATCATATGTATAATTTATGTCGAAAGTGATTCTAATTGCAATTAAAATAAATATGTATTTTTTATATATTGTCTGATTTAAGTCTGTAAGTATGAAAGTAAAGTAAAAATCAGTATTTTATATATGTAAAAATCATGTAAACATTTATAAATGTAGATTTGTGATAAATATTTTAAATAAACCAGAAATATGTTCAAAATGAAATTGTGTATTATTTTTAACAGGGCTGCGCACACATGTATACATATATATTCCATACTAGATGACCCGACAGACGTTGTCCTGTGCCCATGTCTACAATTTTTTAATATAATATACTAATATTTTCCGTTTACTAATAATTAATTATTGCTTATTAAATTACTCTTCACGCCAAAATGCATATACATTTATAATATGAGTGATGTTAAATGTAGAACTGTCTTAAATAAAATGATGAGTCTCGATTCCCGCACTATATTGGGAATTGAAGTCTTTTAAACGGTATAATATAACCATAACCATAAAAACTATATTGAAGAAAAAACTATATTGAAAATTCAATATCCGAATCTTGTGTTGGAGCCCATCGCATTAAAATTAGGACCGGCCCTGATTAATACTTAATTTCATATTTTAAGTGGATTAATTTGTCATATCCTGTTCATGTGTGTATCATTCAATCTGCCATACATATACTGTATCTTAAATTATTTAAATTTCTGGCACATCTCAGCTGCTTTCTGGCAATAATAATGTAGACATTTCATTTTTCTTATTCATAATCATAAATTTATTATTATTAATATTCTAATATTGTCTAGATACATAAGTAAATTGAATTTTTTGGCAGATGATAGTTTTCATTCATTCATTTTAAATGCAAAAATGACGTGTCGTTTTTTGCAATTTTTGCCATTTATTTCTACAGTATTGCACATACATCCCAGTACTTTATAATCACATACATGCTAGAAAATATCCTTAACAAACTTGAGAAAGATTAATCAAAATCCGCATATTTGTTTAGAAGGAGTATAGAGTGAGTGCTTGTAAATTTAATATGAACTTTATATAATAACAATAAAGCTCAAATTGATTCTTTTAGTTAAAAAACGTTTGTATGAAAAAAACAAAAGGGCTGTTTTTAGGGTTTTCCCGGCAATTATTCGATTTTTTCTTGCCGTAAGAACCATCCTTGGACTTCAACAAACATTTTAAAAAAATAATTGGCCAAATTGGTCCAGGCGTTGTTGAATTATGCGCTTAGCAACAAATTTTGCGATCCATTTTTATATATAAGATAAGTCTTTTTAAAAAATATCAATTGAAAATCGCATCAACTAGTTTTTAGTAAAAGAAATAACTTTATTTTCAAATAAGCATTTGAGATTCGAGTTCATCATCTAAATATCTAATATGAATTCTTATTCATTAAGTTGATAATTTACACAGCTGCCTCAAGACAAAATGCTACTTACAATTACCAGTTAAATTGAAAATTTAGTTTTCAATTAAAATATACTTTTAAAAAAGTTTACACAGAGTATTTAAAAATTTAAATGTATAACATTTTATTAAACTTACATGCAAAACAAACGTTTCCAATAAAAAAAAATAAATTATTCAATTAATTTATGAAAACAAAGTAAAATTTTGCCTTAAGGTAAGTTGCATTAACCGAAAAGTGCAATTATCAACGTAATAAATATAGAATATATCTCAGTATCAGTAAATTAAATTATGTATTCATTTGCTCTTTTAATGTTGAAAACTACTGTAAATTTTATTATGTTAGGAACAAAGACACGCTTAGGGCATACGAATGTTGTAAGTAACTTTGATCCGTTATTTCAGACTTATTTAAACGTTTTATTTTATAATAAATTTGTGCATGATTACCTAATTTTCTATAATAGGTATTTATTAGAAATTTTTTTCATATATAATATTCCAGTTAAAGTTCATAAATTAAAAAACTATCTATTGAAACTTACTTCAAATTTGTCCTCCATTACTAATTTTATAAGTGTAAGTAACTTTTCTCTCAGGGTCCCGAATACCACCATAAAACTTTGGAAGAAATCAATCTTACTGGAGTCAACATCATAAGCTGGTTACCACTAACTGCTAAACTGCACAAAATCTCCTAAAAATTTAGTAAATTATAGTAATGAAATAAATAATAAATTTAGAATTTTGTTTACTTGGTGAATCTATTTTGATTGGCAACTAGTTAAGTGCTGCTTTCACTCTTAGATGAAAAATAAATCGAAAACGTGATGTATTCCGTCATTGACATCACACATCTTTAAAACTCGGCAAAAATTATTGGAGTGGGTGGGGATCTTTCACCACATTTAGGATTATATGCTAGAGTACTGACCCCGCACCATCTAATTTCAATCTTCACAAAACTTTTAATTTGAAACGATTCAATTTGACAAATTGTATCTGATTCAGTTTTTTACAATAAAAAAAAAGTTTCAATAAGTGGAAAGATGCTGCTTGAAAGATGACAAAATGCCCAATGCATTACATAATAAAGTTATTTAGTTCCATGGAAAAATATGTTTGATTTTCAAAACAAACAAACACTCGCACTTAGTTGCCCAGCTGATACAATAAAATTGCTTAGTTGGAAAAGAATATGACTAATATTATCACTCAAAATAGAAATATCACTCAAATGACTAATATAACTTAATGCCTAACAGATTTATTATGTTGTCGCTACACAAGGGATAATATTTAATCAATTAGGGATCGTTCAAGTATTAGTAAACAGGTTTATTACAATTATTACTACCCCCCCCCCCCTGTAATACTTGAACGGCCCCTTATAATATTCAC